ATTTTCGGCATTAAGCACACAAGGTAGGTGTGAAGAAACAACCGTTCATGCAATTAACCCAGTTCATGTTTTGTGCAAAAACGCATGATCGCACCGGCTCGCCTGGTGCGTTCCAGCCTAGGTTTTTCATTCTCCTTCATGCAAAACTTCCAGCAGTCATGCTTGCTTGAGATCAAAATTTCACGCGCTTCCATCATGCAAAACCACTGCCCAGCCTATGCGGTTTTTCTCTGCATGCAGGAAAGGACCCAAACACTGTCAGCACCACTGCACATGTTAAGATGTAAAGAAGCAACTATTCATACTGCTACTGGCCTGACTGCTTCAATTTTAGCACAATAACACATAATCGCACCGGCGAACCTGGTTTGTCACTACCTGGATTTTATTTTCTGGCTGTGTTTGCGTCCATTCCGTTTAAAAAACAAAGAATTGTCTTGGTTCATATTTCTGCTAAAAATTGAAGGGCTGGAAAGGGGAAGTGAGACTTTATCAGTCTTTTAGAAGTTCCAAAATTTATGTCTAAAATTTACGGAATAAAATTTAAAACAATCAGCGTGCAAAAAGTATGATGCAGGTTATTGTTACAAAACGGCCGGTGGATCCAGAAAATGACGGTTGGTCGGATATGCCATCAACTTATCAAATTCATGTAGAGCCAATTGCAACATCTGGTACGAAAAGGCCGCGTCTTTCCAGTGATTTAACGTTCTTATCTGATTACGAAATTCCACCAGATTATGCTTGGGAAGTGAGCAGATCCAGGTAGAAACTGTTCTTATGGTCATTATAATTGCTTTAAACATCGTAGTTTTCTTACGGTTATATGCTTTAAAGCAAGTTCAGTTTGGAAAGGAATTTTCAGACTACATTTTGTGGAAATGTTAGGCGAAGGAGCGTTTGGAGAGGTGTGGAAAGCGATTCTTAAAATGCCGGTACCACAAGCTGCTGCTGCTGCAAGCCAAGGCGATGTTCATGGGGAGGAGGTATTTTTTTATCCTGTTGGCTTGGTTTTTAGCTTCGATAGGCCCTAGTTTCGAATTCTTATTTCGAAGGAATGTGAAATTGCTGAGCAAATTCTGCTTTAACAATTAATGTCTTCGATGGAGCTAGCCGCAAAATTGTTTTAGATGCAGGTGGCTGTTAAAAAACTGAAGGCCTCTGCACACGAGAAAGAACTGATTGATTTGGTTAGTGAAATGGAAACCTTCAAAATAATTGGCCATCACGAAAATCTGCTGCGTCTCATCGGGTGTTGCACGGGTACCGGACCTCTATACGTTATTGTTGAGCTTTGCAAGCATGGCAATCTAAGGTATTTTTTAATAGCAGTTGTGATAACACGATTGCTGGCTTTTCTGCATCCACCGAATAGAGTTACGAAAAGGTCGAAAGGTTGCTTGAAATCTCTAGAGTTTTTTCGGGCTAAAGGTTAATTCCTCACGCCTCAGTTCCGTTGGCTTATTTTAAATAAATTATTAGAATTCATCCACTGCTTTGCGGTATTGCCTAATTTGACTCTTCTTGACAGCGTAAGCATTTCGGTAATTGCAGGGATTTCTTGAGGGCTCATCGCCCTCGAGATGTCGACAACGGCTCGCAAGCAGCAGAAGCTCCAAGCGACGATGTCAATACTGCTGCTAATAGCGACCATTACTTAGAGCCGCGTAAGTTACCGCGAAAATTGACAACAGCGTCAACGCCCGAGCAGCCAGTACTAATAAAACATTTAACGCAACGGCATCTTGTGCAGTTTGCATGGCAAGTCGCGAAAGGAATGGAATTTATGGCCAGTCGAAAAGTACGGGTATTACTTATCAGTTATTTTTTTCCGAGAATGTGAGCCCCTACTGCGTCTACAGTCTCTACGAAGAGCGTCAATAATTTTTTCCTCAAATGAACAAGATGCTACGCCGAGCTCAGGTCTACGGAGATATGACTCTTTTTATGCTTTTTTTGCAGCTATGCAATGCAGAAAACGCATTCTGACGTGAAATTGTCTGTGTATGTGTGTCTGTGTGTGCGCTGGGCATCCTTACCGATTTTTCATCTTGAGACCTACAAAAGCTACAGGGCTGAAACTTTGGGAACTTAATCTACAT